CTCAAAGCACCGCCGTTTATTGCTTCAATAGCGTTGCGCGTACAAAGTATTCTGCTTATTCGACTATAAGTAGCTCCTACTTATATTTCTGGTTTCGCCAGGTGCTTACTAAGTTGAAGAAGGAACATCATACATCGGTTTATATAAGCGTTATGGTGTTGGTTGTCTCCATGTAAAGTATGTACATACGCAGCGAAGGCAGCCACATCCAGAGTATTATAAAATAATGTTTTCAAATTTAACAAAAAAAAAAAATAAAATTTTGGTAAAAAGTGTTAGTACACACCAATGGAATAATTTTGTAAACATTATATGATTTATCCTTTTGGATTTGTCTGCAGCGTTTTTAGGAGAAAACACCATTTACAGACTTTTGAGCATAAACTTTTATTTAGCGGCCCCGTTGTGCGTCGCTGCCAGTTTGGACTGCAAGAGAAAACAAATTATTTCCAATGGATTTAATTTGGACTGCGTACGCAAAGCCTGGACTATAAACATCTCCACATATCCTGTAAATTTATGCCATGCCTACTCGAAATGCGATATTGGGCCTCATGCAGAAAAGGTGAGCTTAAGTTCAGACTCAGTTCAGCTCAAGCTCAAGAATTTCTACTGAAAATTTAGTCGTAGCTTAAGCTCACTTTTAAATAATGATATCCATTGTTTTACATTAAAGGACTAAGATCCTATGGGAGATTGCTACTACATCACAAAAATTCGTTGGGAATATTTACTCTCGGGATATAAGCAACGCATGTTTTCACATGCATCTACTCTCCTCTCTTGAATTCTATGTATGTGCATAAGCTTATGTATGTACGTATTTGCATGGCGGTTAGAATAAATATCCATTTGGCTAGTTGTTAGCCTTATTGCTACGCCCTTTCTTCTTAATAGGGCACTCGATTTTGCTGACGTCTACGTTTCTTTCTCTTTCGCTTTGGTAATTACCAACAGCTTTGCTAATTCTATCGTCAAATGACAGTGACAGCTCGGCAACAACAGCAGCAAAACTACCAAAGGATAAACAGAGTGTGTGTGTGCTATGTTTCTATGGATGTGTATGCACGTCTTTGCCGCATTGATTGCGCCAGCAGACAGGACTGACTGCGACGCAACAACTAATTTCTGTCACTTTTGCCTGCTTTAGCTAACTCCTTGTTGTTGTTGTTGTTGTTGTTGTTGTTGTGTTGGCCCGTGCTAAAACTTTTCCTGTTTGTCTCAACTGCTGTAAACGATGGTGACGACAGTGCTAATATATTAATCACACTGGGTGTTGACCGGCCAAGAAGAAATTAATGTGCGTGTAATATTTATTTAGAATACGTATACGCCCCGGATGGCTGTGATAAGAGAAAAATAGAGAGAGAGAGAAAGTAAAAAAAAACCACCAAGATGAAGAATAAATTGACTAAGGTTCAATTAAAAATGACAGCAATTAGGGGAGTTGCTATTTTGAGAGTGATATAAGACGCTGATCATTTTATTTATAAAACAAGAGTTATTTCAAATCTAAATTAGTCAGAAAAATTTTAAATTTTAATTATAATTGTTCTACTTTTTTTTTACTACAACCAGGCTACATATTTATCTTGTGTAAACAGCCATTTGGTGAATGTGCGTTTTAATTGACGCCACTTTACGCATTCAAAATTTGTGCTAAAATCCTGCCTATAAAGGCACAAGCTGGCATTTAGTCACAGCTGGCTTGTTTAATGAGTGTCGCTTCCTAACATTATACTTACTTACATATATATGTATAATTTACATTTAATTGATTAAAATGTGCTGAACCTTTTCACAAGCTCTCAGTGTGCTTCGAGGGATGGTCAACCCTTAATTTTTCTTATCATATTAACTTTTCATTTCGTTTTTTGACTGATGAACGAGATACCTTTTTAATTGCAATTAAGACACGCACACATACAACTAATTTATGTTTTTTTTACTAATTACCTTAAATTCAAACAAATTTGCGGTTTCTCAGGATTAATAGGCGAAATTAAAAAGTACCAAATTAAATTCGCCGCTTGTTCTTTGTGCTCCACTGCGAATTTATCTATGAGCGTTGGATATTTAGTGAATATTTTTATTTCTTACGTGACCTTTTTATATTTTCTCTGTTAACGCGTTTTTTATGTCTAACTCCATTCCAAATTAAACAACAAATAACAAGGCATTTTTGTGGTTTTCATGCTTTAAAAGATGGTACCCTCTTTTACTCTAAGGAAACAATTTTAATTTTGAAGTAGAATTAGAAAAATGCGTCTCAAAATGCAGTATTTAAAATGTAATAACGAGTTGTGATATTTCTACATATATTTGTACATAAATGGAATGAAAAACATGTATATCCAGAAAACTTTAAGCAAAGAAGTAATGCAAGTCAAGCTATGTCTCTCAAAGCTGTTGGCATCAATATTGTTCTTGTGAGAGGTGTGTGTATTCGCCTAACAAAACAGAGCACCCCGGTTCGAATCTCAGCTGGCTCAAATTTTTATTTTTATTTTTTAAAACTGACTAGTCGCTTTTTATACCCGTTTGGGTATAAAGGTGTACAATTAGTCTCTTCACAGGACATGCTTGAACAAAAGCGATCAGTTCATTCCATATAAAGAGATCAAAAGTGATATTAGTCGCATGCTCCTTTGCGATTGCTCCCGGAGTCATCCCGGATTAGTCCCATTTTTTGCAGGGTATAAACATGTATGTACTATGTATGTATGTGTGTGTTTTCACCGTTCTCAGAGGGCCTTTCTGCATGCTTGGGGTGCGTATGTACACTTACATATACATACTCAGATGCGAACAGTCAAATACGTGCGTAATAAATTTTGTATGAAAATATTATTTTTAAATACGAACATTTTTAAACGATAATCAAATATAAAGTATTCATTTTTACTATGCATTATTTCCCTCAGTGTAAGATCAGCAGCGAATTTTCAGTTTTTTCTGGTTATATATCTATCTATAGAAGTATAAACCGGTCCCAACATATATTAAAATTCATCTTGCCTACAGACACTTTCAGTCCCGGATTGTATTACACAATTACTTATTGAATCAGAACGTATTAAAACGCTAACAATATTTATTAAAAATAAATTAAAACAAGAAATACATTATTAACGATTTCTCTGCAAAAGAATTATGTGTTAAAGGACCAAGGGCTGTTCAGATAGTTACTTATAACTGTTATCTTAATTATACCCAACGAATTAAGAAAAAAGTATGAGAACAAAAATTTGTTGTGAAATTTTTATAAATTTGCAATTCTTGAACGTCAATATTTCACAAAAAAAGGCTGATACGATTTTAGTGAAATTGGATTTTGGTTACGTAGGTGATAACGAACAAAGTTGCATTTCCAATTTTTGTCGTACGTTTTAGTGAACTATTAACTAAGTCAGGAACAGTGTGTATATATGTAGTATACGAAATTTAATGGATAACGATAACCCGTACCGGCTTTTAGTTGAAGTTTTCTTTCTCGAGAACACGAATTGATCTAGTAAATCTGAGTACGAGGCTTTGTTCGTATGGCAGCAGCTGTCAAACCTGATATGCGCGCAGTCTAGGTTTTTTTTGTGTTTCGCAGTGTAATCTATGAATGGTGGAAGACTTCCACCAAAATATTTCGGAAAAATATTAAAATATACGTGAGCTGGACCGATTTGAAAATACCTCCAAAAATTGAGTTTTTTATGAACGAAATTATTTTTTTTGAAAGATGACATAACAGTTTAAACTTAAAAAATTTGGGAAAAAAAATTAATAAAATATTTTGGTGCATGTCTTAAAATATAATAAATTTCCTAATTCCAGTGAAAAACAGTACCGATTTGAGCTGAGTCGACTTAGCCATGTCCGTCTGTTTGTATGCAATCTAGTCTCTCAGTTTTCGAGATATCCGGATGAAATTTGGTAGGCGGATGTACTTTTATAATGTATTAATCATTGGCCGAAACCGGAAGAATCGGACCACTATAACATAAAGCTTCCACACAACTGATTGTTCAGATATGAGATTTTTCATTATAACTTCTCCATTTATGCAGCTAGGGACATGAAATTTTGCAATACTTCCATCCATTATTAACAGAAAACTTAGAGTGAAAATTACAAAGATCGGGTCACTATAACCTATAACTCCCGAACAACTGATTATTCAGATGTAAGATTTTTCGTTATAACTCCTCTATTTAAGTAGCTAGGAACATGATTTCATGAATTTCGCACTGTTGTCACTCATTATGAAAAAAATACTTACAGTGAAAATGGCTATAACCAATATATATATATATAACTATACAACTGATTGTTCAGATATGGGGTTTTACTGTAAAACGGAGAAAATCGTCAACATCTATGCTACGATATATCTCCTTTATGTTGGAAGCTAAACCCATTAAATTGTATTACTTGTTTACATAACGATCACAAAGCAATGAAAATCACCTAGATTGGTGCTATATAAGATATATCTTCCATACCCTGAGTGTTTAGATATCATGTTTTTTATATGTATCTCCTCTATCTATGCATGCTGTGAATATGTAAATTTTTTCAAATGCAGTAATCTGTTAAAGTAAAATTTTCAGATCTTCATGAAAGGTATGAAACCTTCGGCATAGCCGCAGACAGAGCTGCTCTTACTTGTTTTCTTACCACACAGACATTATTTTCCTTAATTACCTTTCTAATACTTCGTTCACGAACGGCTGTTAAATTGTGACTACAACTCGTTACATATGTATGTAACGAAATAGATAAGAAAGCATTATTGTTACACCAAATACTTTGTATACTTAATTGGTTCCATTGACGTATCCGTATGTCGTTGAAATCAATAATAAAAAAAAAGAAATTTGTGCAATTTTGCTTGTGAATTATATAAATATTTAACTATATAAATCGACGGTCTGAGCAAAAGCCGCATGCATAACCTGTTTTGCGCTTTTGAACTTCACTTACAACTTCTAAAATATTTCGACACAATGAGAGTCTGTCCACTGTTGGTGAGTATTACTGCAATAAGTGCCTGCTTTGGCGCACATGCAATAGACATATCCTTGCCGCATTTGCTGAAATCGGCTCGCGAAATCGCAGTTGGTTTAGCGGATTCATTCGGACATCAATTGACACCTAGTTATTTATTCAATTTTGTTGACAATCTTGTGATGGGATATCCAATGGAGTTCGCCTCACGAATAACAAGCAAAATATGTGAGTAATGACCTTTGGTGGATATTTCAGAAGCTATTTAAATACTTTTACTCTTTTATTTTAGGTGCTGCAGTACTCACTGAACATATCATCAAACTTGACTCAGCTGACATTCCCAGCATGGACGATATCTTTATTCAATTCCGCACAGCTTGCAATATAAAGGAATGCCGACTGAAGGATTTCTCATCCATAGTGGATTTCCCTGACTTTGATGCTAGCAAGAAAGTGGTTATCGCTTCCTCCGGCTGGCTGACAAATGCCAACAAGTCTGATGATGTGCTTGATAGTCTGGCGAAAGCTTATAACTGTCGTGGTGATACAAATTTTTTGGTAATCTTAGAAGCTTACTCGTATAGGAAAATTACGTTTCTCTGACTTCCTTTGGTTTGCTTGCTCTGACAGGGCATCGATGTTGGTCGTGACTTAGAGGAGATGTACACTTGGTCAGCTTTAAATACAAAAACGATAGGCGAACAAATTGCAAATGCTTTGGTTAATTTAACCAAAGTTGTACCACTCGAAAACTTCCATCTGATGGGCCACAGCTTGGGCGCACAAATTGTTGGTGAAGCAGCCAGACACTTTAAAAACTTAACCGGTAAACAAATACCACATGTTACTGGTTTCGATCCCGCTGGGCCATGCTTTAATTATGGTGAAACGCTAACCACACTCTCGGCAGGCGATGCCGGTTATGTCGACATTATTCACACCAATCCTGGTATAGCCGGCCAATCTGGGGCTACGGGGGATTCGGATTTCTTTGTTGGAGGTCATTTTCCCATACAAAACGGCTGCTTTACTTCAATTTGTTCGCATTCGCGTTCTTGGCAGTACTATGTGGAGTCTGTGTATCCGGGCAACGAGAACAATTTTCTTACTAAGCGTTGCGATTCGCTACTGCATTTGAAGCAAGGTCGTTGTGTTGGTGAAGAGTATCCAATGGGTTATGCTGTGCCGAAAAATTTGAAGGGCATATATATCTTGGAGGTAAATCCTACTGCATCATATGGCAAAAATGCTTCATACAGTTACACAACTCCAAGTGGGGAGTATTGCAGTTGTGAGAGTACTAGTACTAGTTCCTATTAGTTCACAAGGCATGCTGAGTATAATAATAATAAAGATTCAGGATAACAAGTTGAAATTTGTATGAAGATTTGTTGAATTTTCCTAAATTTTGTTTAAGGTTTGGGACTGTGATGTATGTATATGGGTTTGGTTAAATCTTGGACGGAATTTTTATAGAAAAATAACAAACAAAAAGTTATCTCGTAAAACATTACGAATATTTAAAAAAAAATCAACACCTGGTCATTTGTTTGCGTCACTGTATATAATTAGCTCTTATCATACGCGACGAATCCCGAAAACTTCTTTTTAACCATTTATTTACATAGAAAAATTGTGAATGCGCATTTTCACGACACCCAAATTGCGAAATTTCGAACTTATTCTCAATTTCAGCTGGAATTGCGTTAGGATTCTCAATTTGGCCATACAAAAAACTGTCTCCTGAAATTGTGTATTATTCTCAAGTTCAGCGAAATTGAGACGAAACTGTCTTAACTTCACAAATGCAACTCTGAAAATTGCTTATTCTGAATTATTAATGAGCCAAAAGAAGAAACAAAACAATTTTGAAAATCAGTTTGACTGTTATTCCTTTATAACATGGATTTGTTTTTAATTTTATAGAGACTTCTACGTTGGTGTCATGCAATTTTTGCCTGAAAAGACATGAAGTTTTTGCCTTAAAAGACCCCTAGTAAAATTTTCCGAAGAATAATTTTCTAGAATATATCAATCCTCTAACGACTATCCAAATTTGCTTTTTGGGAGGTTTGTTGAAAAACGACCCTTTCAAGCGGGCGATATTAGGTTAAAATGTTTTAAGAAAATATTTCCCATCAAATTGTACTATCTATGCCTTAAATTTTAATTTCGCTCATTCATTTATTTTAACAATTTTTTCCACATTTTTGAAAACTACTTAGGCCGGTACATGAAAAATTTAGTAGGCCATAGAATTAAAATACGAGCTAACTTATATAAATTCACCGAGTGCTTTACTACTGGATGGGTATACTTTCAGAAAATGTTAACAAAGTACGAGCTGGTTTCGACTGTCGCACTGGTTCCCAACTAAACGAAGTCGTCTACTTTTCCAAACTTGTAACTTGCTCATGCAACTGATTCATATTAAAATGCCTCTATTCGAATTCATTGTGCGCGTGGTAATGGAATGACTTTTCACTTCAATGCACTTATTATCAGACGTTGTAATTGTTATATTTAATATGTCTACAGTAAAGTAGAAATATTTAACTTTTTCGCATTGCAGTGAAGTAGTTATAGTCATTTTAAATACGCACTTATGTGTGTGCATTTGTATGTATTTATGTATGTGTATACCACTGTCCGGTATTAATGTTACACATAGCTGAGAATGCCAAGAAATCTGTCACAGTATGCAAATACGGGTGGGCACATGTATTTTGCGATACATATTTTAACTGTTAATATGCGTATAGTATGTACATTAGACTGCATCATTCCCCATACAAAAAAAAAACGGTACTGTGTTTCCATTGCAATTATAAAATCTATTATATTTTAAGACTTGCACCAAAATATTTCGGAAAAATATTAAGATTTCCGTGAGCTGGGCCGATTTGAAGATACCACCAAAAATGGAGTTTTTATGATATAGCTTCTTAAAAAATTAAAAAAAAATCCCCTCAGATGAAAAAATAGTTTAAGTTTAAAAAATGCGTGTTAAAATATTTAAAAAATTTTAATTAATGAGATTTTTGATGCTGTTATTAACTTTTTTTTTAAGATTTGTATAAGAAAAACTTGAATATCTGAACCAAAACTGTTCTGAATTAGACTGATGAGGTATCATTGGAAAGGTATTTTACCACTCTTCTTATTTCTTTGCAAACAAACTCATTCAAGGTATGAAGGAGATAGGTAAGATGAAAGAGCGTTGAGCGAAGTTGAGTTAAGATGTGCCAGAATTTGAGAAAAAAAAAAAGTAGGACGTGAGTGAATCTGTTTTGGAAGTAAATCAAAAGAGTGGCAAAATACCTTATAACTCTGAATCAGAATAGTTTTGGCCCAGTTATACAAGTTTTTCTTAAACCAATCTTGGAAAAATTTGAAAAAAAACAACATCAAAAATCTCATAAGTGCGATACCGTTGAACATTTTTTAAATATTTTTTGCGGCTTTTTAAGCTCCTACTGTTTTTTCATTTAAGGTAATTTTTTTCGAAAAGTTCTTTAAGAAACAATTTTTATTCATAAATAGATCAATTTTTATCTGGTATTTTCAAATCGGTGCAGCTCCCGTAAATCTTGATATTTTTCCGTAATATTTTGTGGACGTCTTTAAATATAAAAATTGTGTAATCCCGGTGGAAAACCGCAACTTTATTGGCGATGCAGTCTAATGTAAATATATGCACATTAGGGCGGTCAAAAAAAAAATAGTAAAGGCGGAATTGTAATGCTCTCACCCACTAGGATTTTTCTATATCGAAAAAAGTACACCCATATTTTTTTATTTTGAAATCAAAAAATATTTAAATTATATTAGATGTATTTTTATTTGGGGAAAAACAATTTTTCGTAGAAATGGTATAGAATTTTGAAAATTCATATTTTTCGATCGGAAGACTCTCGTTCTCTTCAAGAGACTTTCTGTACGAATACCAAATTATTTATTTAACCATTTTTTAATACCAACGATTTTTCTTGGTCCCCCTTTCGCATTTTTAGGGGTTTTCATGGGTTTTTTGGCGGACCTATAAATTATTATAGTTGCGATGAAAAAATGGTTAAATAAACACCTGGTTATTATTACTGGGAATCTTCTGCTGATAAAGAAAGTTTTCCGATAGAAAAACATTGATTTTTAAGAATTCTATACCATTTCTACGAAAAGTTGTTTTAGTGTAGAGGTATATTTTTTTCGGTATAGAACAATCCTAGGGGGTGAGAGCATAAAAATTCCGACTTCACTTTTTCCACCCACAAGCATTTTTGGACCACCCTAAGTACATGTTTATATGCACGTTCATAGCTGGTAGACATTTTTATGCTTAATTGCGTGAAAGACTTCACATATGTACGTTTGTATGAATGAATTTGTGTGTGTATGTGTGTGTGTGTATGTTATGCACTTAATAAATGATACGATGGCGACTTCCGCTTCCACATCTACTTCCGTTTTGTGTTGAATGCTAGTCACGGCTGCCATTTTTTATGACTGTTGCTATGACTATAGCATGAAACATATGGCAAAATGCAATGTAATATTTTTACTACCTATAATTTAATGTGAGTATCGTTCTTTTTGCTTTTATGCGAGTATTTGAGTTCGCAAGCATATTGGTTCGCAGAAAGAAGCATTTAACTTAAATGTTTATTATTATTGCTTATTGTTGTTTATTGTTCTATAGTTTTTGTGATTGCCATCCATTTGGTAGTCGCACTGTCGCTCTATGCTCAGCAAATAATTATTTATTCAGTAAAAATATTTAATGCACTGTTAAAATTATGCATATGAAATGCGGGCGATCAGTAATTCAATTGCATCCACTGCGCATACATTTTATCTATGTTTGTATGTATATGTGTAAATGTATTTGATTACAGTATTAAATATTTAAGCTACTCATAATGGTAACGGTAGTACTTGCTGATTACTTAGCCGGTAAATCACGGCGTTATTTAAATTCGAGGTTGATCAATGTGCTTATAACATTTAATAGCATTTATAAATAAGAACGAAAAGTATTTTTGCATTAACGTTTACAGAGCCCGTAAGCCCATAAGTAAACTATTAAATATTCGTGTAGTGATAAAAGCGATTCCATGCTGTCGGCTTGAGTTCTATACATAAATATAATTAACAGAAAATTTACGAAATTATCATTTTCGATCGATTCGATTTCGGATGGTTGGCATTGTTGCTACTTGAGAATATTTCTACGTACCAAAATGCCTACCAAATCAATATCGAAACTACCAAAACTTTTTCCATCATTAAAAAGAAATTTCTTGAGTTCATGGATTTTTTTTCCTGCACAAATTAGCAGTAAAAATTAAAATCTTTCTCTCGAGATAGGAAATTTTTCGTTAAATATCAACAGCTGATCGGTCATGGCATTGGGAAGGGAGAAAACACATACTTGTGACAACTCTTAACTGGAAAACGTTCGAAAATTATGACGTTATTTGAAAGCTGCCAATTAATGAAGCAATGAGCTCGGTGTGAAGATCTCTATTTTAAATCTTTTAGCATTATTTTTTTTCACCAATTCAAGTAGCATTTTCATATCTTCAGCTATGCCACCATGATTCAGAAATGTTATTTGCCTTGCATACTCCATCCTGGTACTCCATATTCACACAAATGTTTGGACACATTTCGAATGTTTTGGACTGATGTTTTTAATATATATAATATATTTTAGCAAAAGCAGGTTCGGATATCCGGTGAAGTTCAGAAATTAATCGCTAAAATGTTTGTGAAGCTTTTCATAGTCCGAATGACAATAAAATAGCCACCATACAACTATATCGAATTTTTTACGGTACCTCAGTTGCAAATATCCTGCATGGAGAGCGCATTTTTAATCGCATCAAGTCCCAATCGATGGGTTGCATATTCTTATACGGCTATTCTCTAACGGTTTCCGGTGCCATGTGCAGAGGTGAGGACTTTGAGGGTCGGTCTGAAAATACCATGCCGAAGCAGTTCGTTGAATCCTTTTCTAGCAATTTTTAAAGTTTTAGTGATAACCGATGCAGCTCACTTTACTTATGAAATATCTTCTTCAAAGTAATTCCAGACTACAACCTTCTTAAACCTCTTTCGTTATCCTCTCACCAGTACTCTTCCCTACATATATACTTCTTCGAGCCATGCGGTATGAAAATTCAGTTTGTATTGGCAGTTCAGGTTTTAAATTTCATCAAACTTCAAATCACCCGATAAAAAATTTCTTAATTAAAAAATTAAATTTTTTCATATATCTACAGGCTAGGGTCTTCAATTTGCAATCTCATTTTTTTTTTTCA